CAGAGGCAAGGTGGTCTACTACGCATGCCTCTGAAGATGCCAGCCACAGGTGCCGGCCAAACGTCAGGAGATCTGTTGTCTAGACCACAGTCACTAAACCCTGAAGCCTGGCACTGCCCAACAGATAACAAGTTTGAGCTAGAAATATGGCATAAGTGTTTATTTTGGAAAGTATGTGCTAGTTAAGCGTTGCATGGTTTCTGATTTCTAGGTTCTCTGTAGATACTCAGTAAATTGTGTGTTTATACATACTTGGAGTGTCTTCAGCCAAATTCCTCTAAATTAGGGACAAACCAATATCATTCTGTGTCTGTCCAGAGTCTTATATTGTCCTGTGATATGAACAACTCTGTATTTGAATCTACTTTGCCACTTAATGCTTTACATGATGCTATTTATAGTTAAGAAGGAAATTTCAGTGTTCTCTTTTTCTTTTAAAAAGCTAAAGTCTCGCACCTTGTGAGATTGACCTCACTCTCAAAAGGAGGGGGCTTGATTCTTCTTGTCAGGCATCCCAATGCTCCATTTTGCCCCTCCCCCCCAGCTCACAGGGGACAGAAGCCTGCTAAAGGCATCCCCTGAAAGATGGAAGCAGCTACGCCAAGCCAGTGTTTCTACCTTACGGGCTCGGCCCGGCTGCTCCATCCTGCACCACACGACTTTTTCAAAGATACTCTGTCCCATTCCTGTGCAGTAGGTTGGTTTCAAGGTGAAGAGCTCCGCATCTGTCTACCATTTCATTCTGCTACTCTCAGCCCGGAATGTGAATTGTCTTTCTGTTTTGAAAGGTATCAGTTCTCACACCCAATTTTGTGTCCTCTCCAGTTTTGATAAGCATTCCCTCTCCCCTTCTTCTGAGCCATTAATGCACATACTGAGGAGCCAGAACTGATCTCCAGGGCACCCCACTCAAAGCCTCTCTCCAGGCTGATGAGGATCTGCTGAGAAGCCCTCTTTGGGCATGCATTTCAAGCCATTATCATGCCATCTAGCCCACACTCGCTAACTGGAATGCCCCGGGGTGGTCAAATGCTTTGCTGAAATCAGGATAAATTACGGTTTTATCAAAAACCATTACCCTCACATTTCTGCATACCTTTGCCACAGAATAAGTTTACAGCTCCATGTGAGTCTTATAGAAAGCAAACTAGTGAACACTTAACACTCATGCTTGCCGCTTATTTCAATGATTTCATAAGCAATGTGTGCCAGTGTCAAAAAATAATCATCCCCTGAGAGTCAGCAACTCCTTGCAACACTTTTAGCTGCCATAACTGCAACCAAGTTCTTTCTGTAAGTGGTGGCCACATGGCATATAGGAATTTTGGCCCATTCTTCCCTGATGAACAAATTTTGCTCAGTAAGGCCAAGGGCTCTCTTGTCCGAATGGATGATTTCGGGTCGTCACACTATTTCTGAGGGATTTGGGACTGGACTTTGATCTAACACCCAGAGATTTGGCTATTCCAAAATCGTTCTTCATTCAGTCTCTTAGACGTGCTCGGTTTTTTTTGTTCCTCCACTTATTTTTACTCAGATGCTCTCTGGAGTATTGCTAAGTCCATTCATTGAGAAGATACTTTCAGTGATACTCTTCCTTTTTTATTGTATCTGTTTCTTTTACATAAAAGTTATATTTTGACTGCTGTTATTTTTCTAGATTATTACATTTTATTACCAACAAATTAGTGCCATAAGGTGTACAACTGTTCAAGCTAAAACATTAAAAATGGAGATGGACTATTCAATAAAATAGCATGTTCATAATCACAACAGATGAGGAAAAAAGTAAGAAGATTAACTAAAAATCCAAAACTGTTAAAAGTAGATGAGAAGGGGGATAAAATTCTTGTAGTCTTGGAACCACTGCTTTCAATGGAGACCACACTTGCTCAAAAACGCCTGTTGTAATCAAGCCTTTAATAAGTTGACACTTTGGCCTATCCAAGACTATCCAAGACTATCCAAGCACATATGTAAGATCTTTCCAGCAACTGGTCACAATCTGTCACACAGCCAGCAACAAAAAAGGGGAGTTTTTGTGCTTATAATTTCTATTGCAATCCCGATACATGGCAGGCAAAAATATAAGTGGTTCTACCATTATAACAGCAATATCATTTTGGGTTTCCTGCCAAAAGCTAGTGATGATCCTTTCATCGCTACCATATATACAAACACGTCCCAAGGGAATGACAGCCATTCTAAAAGGCAGATGGTGCTGAATGCGGTTACTTCAACCCCACCAGTATGACTTATCTAATCATACTAGACTTCTGCTAGACATACTGAATACCAGGTATTCAGGCTTATCTTGTTTTCCCCCTTACTCTGAACATTAGTACGTAGGCTGCAAAGGCCACCAAATGACTCAATCATATTTCTGATTTTCCGCTGAGTGATTTAATATGCATCATTATATGAGCACTCATTATCTGAGGTCCTTACTTTAGGTTGTTTTTAGTTGTCCCAAGATTCAGTTCAAAGACTTGCTGATCAAATTTCCCATGTTTCCATCAAACACAGTTTTACCCATCACTTGCTTCATGCCAACAGTTCTTCATCCAATTAACTCAAATAATGATCCCAGAAACCAAATGTCTCCTATCTATATCATTTCCAAAACCAGTCATTGCCTTTTTTCTCCCTTCCATTTCCACAGATGGTAAGGATGAGAAAACCATCTGAATAAAATACAGGCTGTATGGCTTGTCTATGAGATGAATCCATTGGTAGCTTAAAAACTACTCAACAGGAGTGAAGCACCAAACTGGGTGTCACAAAGTTTGACCGAGATTATGATAGGTATTGGTTATTTAAAGATACTCGTGGTTTTTGAGGGGCACTGTTAATTCATTGAGAACATGATTCAACATTCCATCTCAGTAAAGTTCAGGAACACTTTATTGGCCACAGAAATTTTCCTTGCTCACTGACCAGGAAGACATTTATGAGCAGACAGTGGTAAATGGTCAGGAGCCAAATCTTCCAGACTGCAAGCCTAGTGAGTCTGTGTCTTGATGGCAAACACACCTCATACCTGGATGGAAGCAGTGGCAGAGAAATGGAGTGAACTACGACTAGCACAGCCATGATGGTATTATCACGATGCATTATTACTCTGTATCTTCATCAAGACCTTGTGATTAATAGGTTTGAGGAACATGGCACCATTCACCAAAAAATAAATATTTCTATCCTGTCCTGACCCTGTTACCCAAAACAGTGCTGCAAATTGGTTCCACCTCCAAAAGAGTGCTCTCTGGGACATCCTCCAACAATACACTTTAAAAGAAGAGGGAGAGAAATATTTCTTTTCACTGTATAATGCAAATCCAAGACAGGTGAGCAGCAGGAACAGAGCTAAGAGGCCATCTTGTTTTGTGACTCCACGCCTTGCAGGACTAATTTCCTGCTTAAGGTACAATTTGCCTCTCATCTTCGGAGAGGTGGACAAAGAAAGGGGTTGCCTTCTCCAAAAGAAAGTTATGATGGGTTAGGGTTAACCATGGGCACTTGGTAATGCGATATGCTAAGGGAACGGGTCTTGAACAGTGCACCTTGCACTCCAAACCATCTAGTTTCCTGACCCCATATTAGTTGGGTCTAATATTTTTCCGCTGGAGCGCAGACAGAAAGGCTTCTGTTGCAACAGAATTAGTGCTGGATGCCACCCCGGGAGCCCTCATAGCAAACAGTAGAGCATATCACTTCCATCCAGTTCTGGGATGTTCCAGATGGGCCACCGTGCAGGCTCAGAACTTATTTGTGTGAACCACAATAAAGAAACTTCAGTCACCCAGGAGCCTCCTTAGCTGGGATTCTTCTATCACTCCCCACAGGACCAATATCACCAGCTCCCTATGGGTGGCAGAAAGAATCTAGAAATCTCTCTTCAAATAATATTTATTACTATAACAGAGGAAGTATTCCCTGCACAATTTACGGTAATTTGTACAGTATTATTAGTGAATCCACATTCCTTATTCTAATTCTGACCTGGGTATCTGGTGATACTGCATCAGTGGCACCCAAAATAAGAAAGGACCATAAAATGAATATTTTGATTTGGGAGAAAAGAATGAGATGGTCTTCTCCCAGGTTACCCTGATGTGATTAAATAAATATTAGATTCAGGAGGATCTAAAAGGAAAGCTTCTATTGAAGTCAAAATGGACAGCTGGAATCGGTGAACAGAGAGAAGCTGTTCAGGGAAGTTATGCTGGCAGCTAACCAGACCACCAACAGAACTGCCCACCCGATCTTTGGAGAATCCCCCAAACACCCTTGGAGTTGCTCTGGATCCATGAGGCGCTGGGGGTGGGCCATTCTGACACTGCCCCGCAGAGGTGCCAGCAGTAATCAGTAATGGGCCAGGAAGTGATCTCACCACAACAAAGGGTTGGGCATAATGCCCTCCCACATCCGGGTCATCTTTCAACTGCTCCAGAGGAAACACATGCTCGAGCATGCGACCACCTGGATCCACTGAGCCTGAGATTACTTTCATGGGGGCCATGAACTCTGAGCCTCCCTGGATCTAGTCTCCCAGAATGCAATCTTTTGAAATTATTTTTCCTGCTTTAACTTGCCTTTTGTGTTTGCTAATTCCTTACACTATAAGATACACAAAATATAGAGCGATAACTCTCATTGTATTCTTATTTACAATTTCTTTAAATTGATTGGAATCCTCTGAGGAAGGATTGTTATCCAGAATGGCGGTAAATAAGTAATTGTAATAAAGAATATTACTGGTTTGGGCAAAGAGGAAGAGGGACTGCTTATTAAATCTGCAAGATTTGTAGGTGATACTTCTAGACAAGACAGAAGAAGAAAATCAGAATAATCTTCATAAATACTGTTCTTTTTTATTAGAAAGAAGGAACAAAATGCCCAGATACAGCTGGCTTTGTAACAGTATCTGTGAAAAAGTGCTCAGAAATCTCTGACTGCGAATCAGCAGCTTGATAAAAAGGAGAGTGCAACGTTAGTCTGCATCAGCAGAGGGTTAGTTTGTAGGCAGAAGAAAGAGCAGCTTCACACTTCTGTGCCCTGCTGTCCATTTAAGAAAGTCAGACAAGCGACTGAAGAGCTTTGGAGAGAGGCAACCCTGGAAATCAGGTCTGACGTCTTATGAGAAGAGGCCACGGGAACCTGAGCCTCGAGAAAAGACAAGGGGAGAGGAAGGAAGACACCCTGGCATATTTTAAGCTCTTGAAGAGGTGCAAATGGATTGGATCCTGTCCTCTGAGTGCAGACCATGGAATAACAGCTTTAAGTCACAGATTCTGATTAGAAGTCAGGGAAATCTTAATAGTCAGAGCCGTGAGTCAGAAGGGTGGTTCCCACCTCTTCTCTGGGTGCATTCAAGTGGAGGCTGGAAGCCCTGCCTGGATCCCTGCACTGAGAGGGGTGGGGCTCCAGGGCCTAAATGCCCCCCTTCAGCTCTAGGAGCCTATCTAAGGGCCATTCTGAGAATATGGATCGAGCAGGGATCGCTATGTCACATGACTTGCTCTCCTGGATTCTTGTGCTTCCCTACCTGCTCGCTGGCAGTTGGCAGTTTATGTGGGTCTGCTGTCAGCACCACCAGATCATCAATGATGCCCTGAAGGTGGGTTATCTCTCCCAGCATGGTGATCTCTCCATTCTGCAAAAGGGATAAAGGGAAGTATTAAGTCTTTGCTGTTCTGGAGAAAAGATCCTTGAATCACACGCAGAAGCACCCCCATATACCAGTGCTTGTTCTTCACTTGAGGAAGCCCAGGTTGGAAGGAACACGGTGGGGCCCATTTTCTAGGCCAAGAGGGCCACTGTCACTGGGGCCAACATGCCACCCAGCATGCCCACTTCAACTTCAGAATGCCACAGAGATATGTTTCGATAAGGAGGACTGGCAAGGGACAGAGACCCTCATGAGCAAAAGAGAGCACTTTCTTGGCAGAGGTAACACTGAGATCGAGAACATTTCTTCCCATTGACTGAGCCATTCACTCTTCAATCCCAAAACTGACTTTGGTCTGCAGAACAGATGACTGAAACATCTCATCTGATTTGTAGACCTTCCGGCTTCTTCTCCATCTCATGTTTGTTACTTATCACCTAATGACCCTCCAGATTCTGTTACTACATTTTAGTTGGCCCTCAACAAGTCTTGCAGTGCTATGGACTGTGCAGAAGCCAGAAAGTACCAGATCCTGCGGGTAGAAGCTTTGTGTAATTTCAGAAGCCAGAAATGTAACTCAGGTTAGTCCTATGTAATTATAGTTACATTGCTGAAATTAAATAGGAAAACATCGTTCCAGGCAACCTTTTTTCCCTTTGGTCCAAAGAAAAACTTTACAAAATTCAGAATTAAGAACAACAAACAAAAAGAGAAATGTGGGAGTTTGCATATGCAATCTTATGGAGAAACACAAATACTTTAAATACTCATGCTCACATTCAAAGCTTCAAAAAAGTTTAACAAAAAGGACGACTTGGGGTTGGCACCAAATGCGGTAATAGGTACCAGTATCATTACCATCCCTCCAACACTATCTAGAATAATTACATAATTCATGCCACCTCTGAATTATTTTCATGGTCAGTTATTGACCATCTGCTGAAATAGTTTTAAAAATACATCTGTAACAAAGAGGTCCAGACCCAAATCAGCCTTCAACCATTAGCCATGCTGTTATCCAGCCTAGAGTAGGAAATGGTGGAGATGTAATTTCTCCCTCCAGGAGGGAGAAAGCAGAACAAGCGAGTTGCAAAGCACCGAAGCTGGAGAAGGGCACTTTGCTCGGTCTTCTGCCTCAGTTTGACTCTTCTGCTTCTGCTTGGGCCAAGCGAAGCATCAGATGCATGAATATCCACAAGCCAAATTCTTCAGCAAGTGATGATACTTTTTTAACATTCTTCCTCAGTTGCGTCCTAGACGTAACATACAGACTTCTGGAGCCTTTCCTTTCTCCCTAAACATCACCATGCCCCTCTGTGATGGGGAGGGTTCAGCCCTATCCTGTGACTCGCTAAACCCAAAGCCTGTGTCCCGTGACCCAACTCAGTGGGGCAATCAGACATCTAAGTGGGGTGACTTTGAAAGGGGACTGGACATCTTCAGGGAGGGCTGGTCTATCAAAGACTTGGTCTTATCTCTGGACGGAGGGCAGCTGGTCTCCAAATAGCGGATGCGGGGAAGCAATGGTGGGAGAGAGGTAGGTCTCAGGCTCCTGCTTACAAGCATCTTGGTTGGGCACTGTGAGAAAGAAAATGCTGGTCTGACCCAGCAGGACCCTTTTCAGAGGGCAGATGGTGATGGAGAAAAGAACAGAAAATGGGCCATGGGCTGGTGGCAACATACTGTTTTGTTTTTATTCTTTAGCTAGCTGGGCCTGCCGCTGCTGCTGTGCTCCCAGACACACCTGCCCCCCCCCAAAGGGCGTTGGAACTGCACAGAAGAAAGGAAGCGGGGGTGTGGGCTGCACCTAAGGCCTCCTAAAACTTGGCCTGGCCAACCCCCGAGTTTCAACGCTGTGAATATAACTGCAATAGAGAGTGCCTTGCACAGGCACACAAGGATGTGGGCTGGCTCCCTGGCTCCCTCAAGCCCCACACTCCCCCCCATTGCAACCCTTGGGCAGAGGCTACTCAGTTTGCTGCCACCAGCCCTACTTCTGCACTGAAAACCCCTCTCTGCACCTAATACAAGAGGAAGAGAGTGAAAGCCAACGCTTCCCAGGTGTTCTTGCCTTCTCTGCAGCTAACAGAATGGCTGGGATGTGTGGGATCAACCTCCTTATCAGAATGATATGGACTTCAGAAGAAGATACAGTACAAACTTTTAAGGGCTAATTAAAAATTGAAGATAATGGGAAAAGGGGAAAGATCATTTATCTTGCAGGCTTTAACCTGCAGAGTATCTTCCAGGCAGGAGTACACGCAATATCTGCAGGATAAAACAGGACAAAGAATTCAAAGAAAAAGCTTAGATCAATCCTTAGTAGATATTTTGAAAAAAATACCCTAACTCACATCAAATTCCCTGTCTCCTCGGATGCTGCTCTGGGACGAGCCAAGAGCCAGTTTGGGGAAAGATGCAAGAGAGGATGGGAGGCAAGAGAGCAAAGGCAAAGAGGGAAGGTCTCCATCCTCCATCTCAGCTTCTTGCTCCGGACCACCTGGGCTGACAAGTTTAGGTGGGGTTAATTCCTTGGCATCAGGACACTCGAGAGGCGTTCTTCCTCTTTGTTACATCCAAATTCCGGAGGGGAAGTTCGGCAAGATGCATTACTGTACACCGCCTGGCACCACTGGGAATAGCTCAACATAATGCCCTGGGAAATAAACTCCCGTTATTCCAGAGGCGCAGTTCCATGCCACTTGCCTGAAAGCAAGAATTGTGAGCAGACATAAACAGACTTCCCCTGATAATAGGATTATGATTAGGCAACAAGAGTTGACAGTTGCTTAAAAATTAAGATGTGCCACAAATGAAGGGTGAGAAATACCCTCGGACTTCCTGTTGTCCCAGTACTCAGTACCTAACGAAGATGCGCATCTGGCCATGGAAGCAAGGCACGTACCACCACAGGCTGCAGGCAGGCGATGAAGGTGCAGAACCGTCCCCGTTCCTCAATGAGTGCTTTACGGACCGCTTGCTTCTCTGTCTCCTCCAACAGGAGGTACATGTCGTTCACGTCCTGGAGGGCGTTGTCCAGCTGCGGCTGCAGGTCCCCCTTGCCTATAAACGACAGCAGACGAGACTATCATCGCTTCTTCACCCAGACCCTCGTCCAAGATCTCCTCGGGTACAGAAGGTTTGGCTTTCCATATGTGTCATTCTGGGACAAAACTGCCCCACACTAAATCAAGCCAACTTCACTAGGCTTACTTTTGTAACTTAAGGTGTCTCCAGGACTAAACTGCCGGGAGTCAATTGGCATATTAATATTAATAATAATATATGGACAGGTGGCAAGATCACAGTGGGGTATGAAGTGCACACAGGAGAACAAACAGGCTTTTAAGACTTAAACTCAACCTGTGTTCCACTGTTCAGACATGGAATTCAAATTTATTTAGCATTTGTGTGTCTCATGGAGCACAATGCAGCACAGTACATGGATAGTTCCCAAGAACCAGGTCAATTACTGGGCTCATACAAACCTAAATCTGAGAAAACAAAACACAATCACTGAATTCACACAGCATGCCAAGCCCTTCCAAATAAACCACAGGATGGCTTAATGTGATGGCTTATTTCAGTGAATATCAAGACAATCGTTTTGTTCACCCTAACTCTGCCAGCCTAGCTTGTTACATGAGTCTAGCCAAGCACGTCCATTGGTTCGCAAACAAACGCCAGTGCAGAGAGGGTGAGGGGAAGCCCGGCTACCTTGTTCCGCTATTCAGCCACTCTCAGTTTCCTTCTTCCTTCTTCTGATGGAAGTTCACCTTAGATATCTCCCCAAGCAGGAATCAAAATGGGAGGGGCGCATTTAGACCTTTCCTTACAATACGATGTCTCCTCTAGTCAGAGCTTGCGCACCGGCAGTGGATCCCAAGCGGAAACCCTCCTTTCTAGTGCCCAACAGCTGTAAGCAGGTTGACTAATAAGCTCATCGGCTCCCCTCCCTAAGCCGTAGACTCCCAGACGGGGTAGCTGGATGAAAGGGCTGTTATCTGGCTGCAGATGCGCCACCATCGACTGTTGATGTATCTTAATATCTGAACTGGGGGTTATTGATAAAGGGGCAAGGAAGAAGACTGTCGAGCAATATGATCAAAATTTCTGGAGTTGGCCAGTTTATAAAAAAACATTTTAAAATGTTTTCATTAATTGTTGTGTTTATTAATTTGAAAGCAACATTGTATTGTTAATATTTATGTTTCTTGTTAGATATAATAAAAAATTAAAAAACATGAACCAATAAGCCACATTTTAATTCAGCATGTTGTTAAACCAAAGCAATGTGGTTACTATGGTCTGTCATGCAAATGCAGAGATATAGGTTAACTGAGTAAAGCAGGTTAACAAATCATGGATGGGTATGACGTATGAATCCAGCTACTGCATTTCAGGCGTACTTTTTAAATCCTTTCGAAAAAGTGTCCACCTGTCTTCCTTTATGTTCTACCTTCACGGATAGAATTTATCCTTAGTGATGTCACCATGTAACCAAATCTGACCCAACTGCATGATCCTCCTTTGTAACTAACGCAAGAAGAAAAAGAAAGTTTTGAGAAAGTCTCAAAACTGTTTACTAGCAGACTTGGAGGAACCTCTGACTTTGCCTCGTAAGCCTCGCTGTGCTGTGGCTCCCGTCAAGGCTTCAGACTCCCCAGCCTCGCCCTTCGTTCCCCCAGGAGGGGACGGTATCCCGCCTGAGATTCTAAAACCAAACACGGACCAGCGAGCACAAATTATAAGTTGAAATTACCCTCAAACCGGAATACCTCTCTTATTGTCCCCATATTTAAAAAAGGAGATAGGTTCAGTTACTTTACTGAGTATTATCAGGGAACTTTATGCTAAATATTCATTCTGGATTGGCTGGAGCAGGAAAGCACACCGGCTGAGGAGCAGGCTGGGTTAGGATAGGTAAGTCAACCTCGGGCTAGCGCTTGGTCTTACAACATCTTATTGAAAATGCTGAAAGTATCAGCCCCCAAAATTGCTCTATGTGTGGCATCTGTTGATTTTAAAACAGGCTTTGACTCCATTTCTAGAAAGTGACTGCAGAAAAAAATGGAAGCTTTATCTACTGAGAAGTGCCTGCTGGCACTCATTGAAATATTGCACAGTAATAATATATTCCAATAAGGCTTGACCATTCAAGTGGTCACATTTCTGCTGTGGTGTCCATCTTCAAGGGTGTCAGACAAGAGCATATTTATCTCCTCTGCTGTAACTTCTACATCAATGATGTGGTGGAAAAATTCACTGTATTGGAACATCACTTCCAAGTCTGGTTGTCAGGCCTTCTGCATTACTTTTACATCCAGATGATGCACCCATTATTACCTCAACTTTACCACTGGACTGAGCTAAGCCATTAAGAGCAACAGATAATAATCTGGTTATCAAGTATCAAAAAACAAAAATTACTGTATTTTCCAAGACCTTTTAGATATAAATATAAGTGGCAAATTAATAAGAACACCATTCAACAAAGTCAGACCTTCAAATATCTTGGAATTGTTTTCTAGGCCACAGGCTCCTGGAGGCCTAAACCCAATTTCTAAAAGAGAAGCTTTAAAGGAGGGTAGTCATCATCTTAAAGCTCTTCCACAAAAAAGGAAGTAATTCCATACCAGGCGGACTTAAAGGTGGGTTTGAGGCCAGAATAATAGCACAGCTATCTTATGGCTTCCAAACACAGAGCCACTAGAAGTTGTTCAACCAGGTTTCTTAAGGGACATATTTCTGGTGCCAAGATATGTCCCAAACTCAGTCCTTTGCGCTGAGGCTGGAATGACATCAATTCAAACTCGAGCACAGATAACCTGTGTTAGCTACTGGCTTAAATTAATTTTCACCCCAAGTAGTTTGGCTGCTTTGAGCCTCCAAGATAAATTTCAGCCTTCTTTGTGGAAATCACTTTGCTCCACCTTAAGGTAGTATGAACTGTCACCTAACCTGTTGATCCTTTTGGGTTTTGAACCCAAATGAAAGAATGAAATCATTCTTCAAGCAGCAGGCCAGAGATACTGGCTTACAAGATGTTTTCAGCCAGGGTCCATCCTACTTCATCCCAGCGAGACCAGATAAAAGTGTTGCTCCTGCCCATTAAGGGCACCCCAAAATACAGAAGAGCTTTTACATCCACTGGCTCTTCTGGAGAGCAGATCCTGTAGCGTTCCTCAAGAGCAGCCTCTCCACCCTTGTGGTCAGGGAGAAAATATCACTGTGGGCCACAGACTGCCACATGGCCTCTTTTACAGGATCATTGGGGCTCTCTCTTTCTCCCCATTTATAGCACAATAGCCAGGCAGGACCGAGGACAACCACTCCAGCACAGTGTTCACTGAGCTCCCAGCCCAGTCACAGTAAGAGCCACAGGTGGACCCTGTTCCCATGCAAACAAGCTTCCCACCACCACTACCAGCAGCCCACATGCACAGACAGCAGCGTGGGGTGGAGCCACCCACGTGGGAGGAAACAGGGAAGTCTGGGAACAGCCAAGCAGTCAAAATACCAGGCCCAGGATTTGGGGGAGCAAAGGCTGAGATCCTGACATTCTGCTTGGCAGCAAAACACTTATGCCCGGGAATGGGCAATTTCACATAAAAATAACTTGATCAGCTGAGTCCAAACCGAATCAGAGGTGGGCTAGGTAAATAGCTGGGAAGTCAGCAGAAGGTGGTGTGTTGTGCCCTTTTAAAAATGGGACCAAACCACAAAACTTTCCTCATCCCCAAACGTAGCACTGCTGCCTCTGGGATCAGGTGGGTGGATCTCAGCATTGGTCCCACTGCTGATATCCCCAGAAAGGGAGAGCAAAACCAGAAAGAAAGAGGAGGTGGCAGGATCAGGGGTTCGTGAGGATTTTGCACAGGCCTGAAATGAAACCCAGCCTGGATTCTTCTATTGTATGTATCTTAACGCTGAATGTATAGAACTGTGACGTGCATTCACAATACACACTATCATTTGCTGAAAACTGGAGAAGGAAGATCCCTTCTACTTAACTGGCAGAAAGGATTCCCCAGGCAAGACCACAGTGCTCTTGTCATATTTATATTCCTTCTTGAAGAGAAACTGGCATCTTTTGAGAAGCAAATGCAGCTTTGAAGCTGTCCCTGGGCTGGAAAAGGGAGGCCACAGGTCAGCTGGTGAGAGAGGCAGCGATTCTCCACAAGGAAGACAATCAACTCAAGAAAGCCCAGTGGGCGACAATGACAACCAGAAACAAGAGTCACAGATGATATGCCTCACACAATCTTTAGGGGCGTGCAAAAGAGCTGGGGGTGGGGTGGGGTGGGGAATCAGCATTGCTAGAAGAAGTGGATGCTTGAAGAGCTGAGGGGATGCAGCTGCGCCCTCCAGGAAGACGAAGGGAAGAGTTGTAGTACTTGGCAACTTGTCACCATGAGGGACAGAAGCAAAGGCCTACTGACCAGATCTTGTGAAGGGTGCTGTGGGCCAGGAGCACCAGCTAAGGATAGGACAGAACCATTTCCAAGGTTTATCAGGTCCACTGATAAATTGTCCTTTCTTCTTAATAACACTTAATCTGAGTGGGCACAGGACACCAAGAACAGCAAAAGGGGCTTATTTGGAAACTTTAGAAGCAAATGGAAGGGAAAAGAAGCTGCTGCTCAACGAAGACAGCAAAATGCTGAGGGCAAAGACAGGATTACTCGGCCCCTAGTTTGAGACAATCTTTTTCACCAAGGGGATGTAAATTCCTCATGAAGAGCAGGATGAAGTGGCAGGATTTAAATTTGAGATTAAGAGAAACACGATCAGGAAATACTTATTTACTCTGAGTTAGTTTGTATCTCAAAAACCAGCTTAAGAGAGCAGCTGAGGAGGATGGGTGCTCGTAACAGGGCCTGTAGGTGGTTGGGGATGTTGGCACTTTGGTGGCTGTGACTCTGTTGTGGCACTATGGAGTTCGGACACTGGTAGGAGCGTGGCCAGCTGGTGGGAAGAGGAAGAACAAGTTCTGAGGGGCTCTTTTGGACTTCAGTGTTGGTGGCAGTGAGTTGGAGCAGGAGCAGCAGCGGGCAAGGATGGCCTCCCACACAGGCAGAGCTGGGGCCTTGGGCTAGATCAACATGCAGGGCTCAATTCTCTTGTCAGTGTGGAGGCGTTTAGGCAGACGGCCGGCTGGGGAGTATGGCTGTCTGGGTAGGTGGTGGCAATGCTGATGAACCAGGAGTGTCAGCATTTATCCCACGTAATTGGATCAGTGATAGCTTCTTAAGGAGGGGCATTCCACTACCTCCTTCAAGGCAAATGAGAGCACCTCTCACCTAAGGATGAATTCACAATTTGTGAATTTGCCTCGTTACCCCCCTGGAGAGACATGGATCTAACATACAAGTGCCTGGACTCACAACCCTGAGGACGCTGTGCACTTCCTCAAGACTCACAGGCTCAAACTCCTCCCAGATAACAAGGCAAGACTCTTTCTCAGTCAACTTGGCTGGACCTGCCAAGTTGTGGAGAAGGTGGTTGGAGAAGTTCTGGAGAAGGTGAACAGGCTGCAGCTCCAGAGGGACCTGAAAGAATTGGATTGTCTAGATCCTTTTTAGTGTGGGCGTTAGGAAATAGGCTGGAAATAACAGAATGAAATTTAACAGAAACAAGAAACAAGCTTAGGAAACAGGTACAGAATGGAGCTCTTTGGACTGTGCAGAGCCAAGGAGCAGTGTAACAACTGCAGCACCTGAAGTGGTCAAGAGACACCTGGGATGGTCTTTTGTCACTGCCAAGTTCAATGGCTGCCATGTAGCCAATGCAGCCCCAAACCTCTGTTATAGCACCTGCGAAGTACAAAGGTTTGAGCCAATCTGTTTCTGTGCAACTTCTCCTAAGTATGGGCAGACGTACCCCTCCCAGGGAGAGCCAGTGTGGTGTAGTGGTTAAGGCACCAGGCTAGAAACCGGCAGACCCTGAGTTCTAGTCCCGCCTGAGGCACAAAGCCAACCGGGTGGCCGGGGGCCAGCCCCTCCCTCTCAGCCCTGGGAAGAAGCAGGCGAGGGCAAACCGCTTCCGAAAAGCCTTGGCAACAGAACTGCAGGGACTTGTCCAGGCAGTCACCAGGAGTCAAAACCTGACTCCGAAGTCAAACCAAACCAAACCAAGCAAAGCCTCCGCAATGACAATGGCAGGAGCGGAGCAGGAGCCCTCTTCGGGAATACTGGCATCACAGGGGACTGAGTTGTTTCAGTCTGCAACAACAGAGGGGCGCCTTCCAAATCAGATGAAGTCATGGATCCATTTCATTCTGCTTTGGTTAGAACCACTTTTTGCAGCAAGCCCAGTTCTGGGCACCACACTTCAAGAAGGATTTAGCAAACTTGGAAGAGATTCAGAGAAAGGCAGTGAGATGTCCACCAAACTAGAAGCTAGATCCTATACAGAGAGGTTGAAGAGGAGGGCACATTTAGCCTTGAGAGTGGGGATAGGAGGGCTCTCTTCAACATCCTGAAAGGATGTCACACAGGAAAAGTTCAAGACCCGTTCTATCTCGTATCAGAGGGCAGGACATGGAATAACAAATTCGAGTAACAAGGAGGCAGATTCCAATTTAAAGTTTACCATGTAAACAGCCTTGAGTTGCAATGAATTATGGCGATATAGAAATGTTCTAATCTGTATATGTAAAAATGAATAAATGTTTAAAACATTCCCAACAATAAAGACAAGTTGGACAGTGGAACCAATGGCCCAAGTAAGTGGTGGGCTCCTCTTCACGGGCTAGAGATCCAATTGTCAGGAAGTCTGGATTTCTGTGTGTGAGACTCAGTGGCCCCTCCAGGATGCTGCATTTGGGCCAATGAAGTGAGTGTGCATGTTAGATTTGCCAGCAGGGCAGAATACAAGGTTTAGAAGCAATTTCTGCAAGTCTTGGATTTGGGGACCTTGAAGCAAGCCCTCCCTTCTTGGTGTGACCCTCTACAATACAGGGAGAGCAGAGCTAACCTAACCTTAAAGGTGGTTTCACCAGGCTTCCTGAGATGGTCCACGTGGTGCTGCAGCAGTTGTGGTAATCCCTGGTGCAAGCGGAAGAGCTTTTCCTGACGCTCCCAGCCATTGGTTCAGAAGGAGAACCAAGTTGGAGCTGTGCTCAAGTCCCTGAGAACTTCAAGGGATCCTGCTATGATGGTGCATCATCTGAAGCTTTGTTTCATTTCAAGCCCAGCTGGATGGGATGGGGGGAGGAGGGGGGTAACAAAGCAAAGGCCATGAAGGAGTGAGGGATGCCTGGATGAAGCTGGGTTGGCAACGTTTGACTTACCAAGTAGCTCTACAGAGGAATGTGGAAAGGAAAAAAAAGAGGAGAAAGAGAAGAATGTATGAAAGAAGGCAGGTACACAGACTCACCGCCTTGCCCAAACTGCTTTGGCCGTAGCTGCCTTTCCCAGCCCTCACAAAGCAAATGCTTCCCCCAAGTGAGGCACCTCCCCCTCTCAGTGATTCACTTTTCAATCACATCAGGATGAAACATGAGATCTGTGGAGCCCCCCCACTTTCCCAGGTAGAGGATTCCCCTGAGTAGAGGACCTGAGTGAGGACCTTGCAGGATGGCAGGGAGAGATTGCCCCAGATTTGTGCCCACCCTGGCAGGCCCAGATAATCTTCAGAAGAAGCCTCCTCCTCCTCCTCCTCCTCCTCCTCCTCCTCCTCCATGTGTCCTCCTGCGAGACTGAGGCTGACCACAAGAGGCCTGCAGAAAGCACCATACAGAACCACTTCCAGAAACACCTGCTCCTTCCCACCCCAGTCCAGGGAAGGCCAATGTGGAGGGGCTCAGATGCTCCTTCCTCCCCTTGGATTGTGCCCCTATTGCCAGCTGGGTCTGGGTGCCCTCAAATCCTCTGGAACTTCCAGAGTGCCATGGCCAGGAAGCACCAGGCCAATGATAAACCCTGGGAAATAGGGCAATGCGGTTTCTAGGTCAGCCATCTTCTCTGACTCTTGAGATGTGAACTGCCACCTAGGTTTTCTAGCTTTTAAACACAGAGTGCAAGAGCAGCTGAAATCTTTCAGGCATGTGACTTGAAATAAATTCTGCCCTTTTCCTGTCGTGCAAGGAAGTTCAGCTCCACCAGCACCACCACCATCCCACCCTGGCCGCTGTCCCTTCACATCACCTGTCCTATGGAGATGCCAAATGCTCCCTGAAACAGCTCCCTCCTCACCCCCTCGATGCCTCCCAATGTTTCTACAACACCATCAGACTCTCACCTTTGCGCGCTTTCTTCTGAAGCTTCAGTGTGTCAGAGGACTTCTTCTTTATCTCATGGCGGGCTCGTTTGTATTCTGAAGAGGCAGGAGAGAGGCCACCCTGAAGCTCTTGGCTCAGCTGTCTTGTCCCCTCTGTGGCCCAACAGCTGGGCCCCCAGGCCACAGCCATGATGTTTTGCAGCCACATCTCACAGAGCCTGACAGCAGAGGCAGAAGACGAGCACCGAGGGCCACAACTCACAACTTTCTCTGGTTTCCAGCCACCCCATTCCCCCTGGGTGCCCTGCCAGCCTCCTTGCCTGCATGGACCTGGGACAGAGGGACGCCACGTGGCAGCTCTACCTTTCGCATGGTCCTTGTCCAGCTGGTTGGCAGTTTTCTTCCAGTCCTCTATCCTCTCCTGCAGAGGGTTGATCAGGCTCTCCATGAGGGCACTGCAGCCACAGAGACATGGCAGAAGAGAAGGAAACAGTGAGCCAAAGCCTCAGAGAACGGCTTCCTCTGAGAGAGGCCAGGAGGGTCAAGGAGGAGCGGCTGAGCAGCACCGCCTGCCTCTGAATCAGGTCCAGAACGTGGGAAACCAGGGAGCCTCTAGCCTGCGAAAGTCCTTTTGCTCCGAAGTGGGACTGGAAAATGGGCTCCCTGCTTGAATGACCTCCAGGAAGGCCAAGTTACAGCCTTCAACTCCCCTCATCCCCTGCCAATGGGCTGTGCTGCTGGGAGTTTTGGCCAACGTGGCTGGAAGACACGATGTTCAGGGAGGCCGGAGGGAAGCACAGAATGAATTACATCAAACACGCTGAAGATTAGGCCTTTAGGGCAAACCCTCTTGGAACACAGCACAATCCTCTTCAGCCTGCCTCTGTAGCCCTTCTGCCTTAGGAGGTGGCCTTTGGCAGGGGCTGAGGGCCCTTTTTGGGTGCTTGTTTATAATGATAACTGCTTTCATAAAATCCACCATTTACCCAGACGCTTGCTTTGAAGTGGAAGCCAGTTCTGGGAGGCTGAAAATGGGGGAAGGGGGTGTTCTTTGGGACCAAGCAACCTGTAGAGCCCCTTCTGTTTCCACTTGGCAGCATGAAGTCCTTCTGGGCCCAGGTTGCAGGTTTTGTGGGCGCTCTCTGGTCTGCATGTCAGAAAAATGCCCAGGGGAGGGGAGGGAGGGGGAGAGACCACACGGTCCAGACCCACGTGGAGTGTGAGAAGGGGCCCCACCCCTGGGGGAACAGGATTCCCAGGCCACCAGGACCAGGACTGGTCCAAGCAAAGTCCCTCTGACCAGAACAGCCCTGCTGGAGAAGGCGGCTGCCTGGATTCCTGCCCCTCTTTCAAAGCCCACCCTTCGGAGGGGGAAGTGCCTCTGGCCTGCAAACCGAGCTGGGCCTTGTAAGAGAATCAGGCACACTTACTTGGTGAACTGCCTCAGCTTGGTCTCGATGCTACGGTGACGCATGCACATCCGGGTCAGCGCCGAGCCGATGTCCCTTGTGGCTCCTGGGTGAGAAAAGGGGGCCCCAGGATTAATGGGCAAAGGCCCGGGGCAAGAGGCAGGGGGCCCTCTGCATCTTTCCTGCCCCAGGGTAGCTCCAGTGGGGCAGAACTAAAGGCACCGAGGCGGCACTGCAAAGCCATCATCCACCAGGTCAAGGCCACGCAGGGCAGGCCCTGGGCATCCTGGAAAGGCGTGAAGTCCAAAGCTGGAGAACGGAGCTGCACATCCCAGATCCACCAAGGCCAACCATCAGCTAAGGAGATGCCGTGCTCTCTCACAGCGGCATAACGTAAACCTTGAAACTGAGGAGCCACCATCTTACATCCAA